CCCGCTACGCTCATCAAAGCGACCCAACCATTTGAACGAATTAGCATCGATTTTAAAGGACCTCTACCTTCTGTTACTCGAAACCGGTATCTCCTTACCATCGTTGACGAGTTTTCTCGTTTTCCGTTTGCCTTTCCCTGCGTAGATACATGTGCGTCTACAGTTATTAAATGTCTGTGTGAGTTATTCTCTTTGTTTGGCATGCCTGCATATGTACATTCGGATCGTGGCTCGTCATTCATATCTGACGAACTGTCCACATTCCTACATGACAGGGGAGTTTGCACCAGCCGAACAACTTCTTATAATCCCCAGGGGAACGGGCAAGTCGAACGCCTCAACGGAACACTCTGGAACGCAATCCAGCTTAGACTCAAGACGAAAGGCCTCCAAATCTGTCACTGGGAGTCGGCTCTACCGGATGCCCTCCACTCTATACGGTCCCTTCTCTGCGTCTCCACGAATGTTACTCCACATGAACGGATATTCCGGTTTGAACGCCGGTCATCCTGTGGTTTATCTATACCGACTTGGCTCACTGTTCCAGGACCTGTTTTACTGAAGAGATTTGACCGTGCCTCAAAGTATGAGCCCGTCGTTGAGGAAGTCGAACTTATAAATTCCAATCCACATTACGCCCGTGTTCGTTTTCCCGGCGGAAAAGAAAGCACTGTATCCGTCCGCCATCTCGCTCCTTGTGGTGATCGCACACATGTCAACGACTTCACGCGTACCTCATCCAATGAAGACAATGGTGTTCATGCACCCCCTATATCTGACTTGCACACGCCTCCGCTCAATAACATTGGAGATGATATCGACCACACTTCAGTCTCACCCCGTGCCCGGGCAATGCACCTGCATCTCCAGACCCTAGCATCTCTGATTTAGCCAGGCTCCAGCAGCGTACACGGCCCTACATTTTAAGAAATCGCCTAATCTAATCACACTCATTATTACTCATTAGGTTTTTACAATCATTCATCCCATACCGGTACCCAATTTATCCCTCTACACACAACGGCCAGGGCAGGGTGAATGTCATGAATATTCTCTGTGCTCACATTATCGTTTCGTATTAACCATGCCTTCGCCTTTATTTTCAGCTTATGTACGTCTATTCTTAGACAAGTAAAGCGCTATTCTTTCTACGCCATTCATTCTTGTTCTCGCGCTCAGTCAGAATCGATATTCTATTCGTAACAGAGAGGCAGAGGTCGGGTCCGAACTACGGGCCTTCCGGTCAGTAAATTCGCGCTCTAACCACTTGAGCCATCTCGCCCCTAATACTACACAATTGTGACCTAGATGGATGACATAGATCAGCAAAGCTTCCTATCTCTCGGACGATGTTGAAGTGGAGGAATACGCACCTTAGCTATGCTAACTCGTAAAACTGGTTCGATGTGCCTTTATGATGCGGATGTATTGGTTTTCCAGCTCAGTGATCGGGACCATCCACATTCTATTCGAGTATGCATATAAGATTGCGAAAAGTAATGCGCGCTGATGACGTAGAGGCGAGAAGAAGCGCTGTGTGGTCACCTGACCTCATCCAAGGGAAACACATATTACATTAGTTTTGCGGCCGCACAGGACTATTGGAGTTTCAGTATAACAACAGATATCGGCAGATGCCTCAGTTCCAAAGAGGTGAAACTAAACGGCACATGGCCCTAAACTCTAAACTTTTATAAGCACCGCACCTCAACGCTCTAAGGTTGCGACCCTACATTTACAGGCCTAATGGCCTGAAAACCCAACAGGTGTCAGGCCCCCTTATCGAATCTTCATGACGAGCATAAAAGTGAGATGAGTCGTGCTGATGTAAGAGACTAGAAACTCCACCTTTTGTGGAGGTGGGCCCAGTCATTGTGGTACCGCTGGTTGATACATTACAGCCTAATAACATGTGTCCTCTGTTAGGTTTTCGGAACGGCGGTAAATGAAAGCTGACAACGTCACATACACTACATATGAACCCCAAGTAAGACTAAACTGACTGGGGAATATTTCTGGTAAAACTAACGCAAGAGGGGCGGACTTTGTGCACATAGAGAAATGCCGTGCCGAATATGCAGCTACGAATGATGCACACACTTAGCCAATTTGTAAAGATGTTTCATAGAACCAAATCGTAAGTAGAGAATTCCAGTGATAATAGTAGTGATGGAACGATGTACAAGTTTAAATATTGTGGCACCAGTCGTTCTGGAATGCATTAGGATGCAATTGGTTCCTTGAAGACCTAATGGCTGGTAGCATTAGAGCTGTTGCGAATTGTGAAAATCGTGAACGTCCATCACGTGGGTCGTATTAGGTCAAATTCGTATACAAAATACGATTAGCGATTCGCTGACAACATCGTTATTTATTTGGTAAAACATGTNGGCTGGTAGCATTAGAGCTGTTGCGAATTGTGAAAATCGTGAACGTCCATCACGTGGGTCGTATTAGGTCAAATTCGTATACAAAATACGATTAGCGATTCGCTGACAACATCGTTATTTATTTGGGTAAAACATGTTAAAGGGATTTCACCATAGGTTCCTGTGGATACACACGCTATCTGTCCATGAAGAGCTTGAGTGAGTGTGATTTGTTGCACCAATCACCCAAACTAGGGAAATTGTGACCAGTTTTTACCATCCTCAGGCAAATGAAGGAATAAAGTCGTCCGACTCATGGCTCGTTTTATGCCGAGGTGGTGTCACACTAGCTTCATCCTCATCGCTTAGAGCTTGATTCGATAAGGGGATTGATTCGTACAGTCCGTGGTCAGGAATGCGGTCAAGCTTGACCATAACGAACATAGTAGATCGAGTTTTTTAAATGTCTTAACATTGCAAGCCAGGGAGGAGCGATCGTTCAGTCAGTCCGCTTTACAGCTATTAATCGTCTGCCGTGCATGCGATTCGCTGATGATTAATCCGCCTATGCACTCCTTACTTGTCATTGTCGAATTGAAGTCCTTGGCTAAAGCATCAAGACAACCGGTGCGATAGAGAAATTCAACATGAGGACCAAAAATTGCCGTTATAATGACGTGCACAAAATTGCGATAGGCGGCCTCGCGGTGGGTGGCGGCAAACGAGGTCATACAGATGTCGACTAAACAAAAATAACTTAAGCCCCACACAGGCAGTGTAACCATACCTAATAAAGGGCAAGCATGAACTGTAGTGTCTTAGGACCCGTTACAGTTGCGTGTTAATTTTTAATAACGAGGAATAGGCGGTCACTTTAGGTTAGCTGGGGAAAGTTGGCAATACTCTCCGTAGAAATTTACCCAAACATTAACAGGCATAAGGCGGACGACATTAGTGAAGCAACATACCGATGGGCAAAGCCACCAGCCCAAGCCAGGCCAACCTCGCAAACCGAGAGCCAGCCGTACACACACAAACTGATAAAAGGCCGACGGCCGGAACACTTACCCTATCACCTTGAGGCATGACGATTCGGCGCTTGGCAGTAGACCACGACGGGCGGTCAGACCTAGCGGCAAGCACGAGGGCGAACGTAGGTCGAGCGGGTCGGCCCAGCAGACTGAGCGAAACAGGACACGGCCTGATTGCATACCCAACGGGTACGCGGTAGGGCCATGTGTATCGACCGCTCATTCCTGGCCAATCGGTTCAAAGCAAAGCAACCTTCACGCTCACTCTTCATTGTGATTGGTTGAAAACAGAAAGGCAGCAGACAAATATGCTCCAGTCATGGACAGGTCTACTTCAGCACAAACACACCTACTCTAGCCTCCATTGGCAAAAGGCTAGACAGGCCTGCGCAGACAAGTCCGGCCTCGGAGACTGAGCGCAAAAGGCACTCAAAGGCTCAGAAGCGTGTGCGTTCACACCAGTCGTCTGGACGGTGCTGCCCTAGCGCGCCTACCCTGGCGGAGAAAGTGCCGAAGCCCACCAGGACATTTGCGTTAGCTGTAAGATGTCCGCAGGCGCCTGCAGCTTATGCTGCCGCGACAAATGCAACACCGCATCCTTGAAGGCTTCCAACACTGGAATGAGCTGCTCAGCCGACTCCTTGTAGATCGCAGAGGACAGTAGTGCCCACAACAAAGCGTGCTGAAAGTGGCAGGCGAGTCACCTTCACAAATCCCGGACGAAAACACCTAGTAGTCTTTGGCAACCGGGCTTTTCTTGCAAACGCTAATTTGGCTGGATGATTATTTTGGTCACGCTAAATCAGTGTGTAACCGAGCATGTCACGTGCCAAAGCAATCCAAACATAGGGTCGAACAACCTCGATGTAGCTAGGCATGAACCATGTGAATACTGGTGGCGGGAAGTTTCCCTATTCAAGTTAATCTACTGGCTGTTGCAGTGTCACCGAGATAATGCAGCATCTCCAACTCTCCGGACGTCGATCTAAAGAGCTGTCACCCCAAATAAATACAGATCTCTCAGAATTATATCCAAGAGTTGTGAACTTGTCAACATCCTCTTCTGGTGCATCTTCCCAAAACCTCCAGTATGATGCCACCAAGTAACCAATATGAATTTGCTCTTCCTGAACGTACATCCACTTTTCAATCATGGGTTGTGTCCCGAACACGAGTGCGTGGGTCTTAATGTCGACTATGACCGAGAAGGCTCCAGTTTCCCAATTCCTTCGAAGCATACCTGTCGAGTGACACTCGCTTTCTGGTGTTGCCTACACTTCTTGAAAATCACTCAACAGCTAGCCTGTGTTAGGGTATTTTTTCCAACATTCAGTCCTGCTTTTTAGCTGAAATACGTGGTAAGACTTTTAGCATGGCGCATGTATCTAGGTTAACTTTTTCTAATTCTGAAACAAAACACGTACTGTTTCTGAGGGGAGCGCCAAACTCAAACTTCCTGATTTCCTCTTAAAACGGATCCCTGCATGTATATCACTAGGTGACTGTATAAGCAAGCTGGCACGCTGAAACTCTGAATTGCACCTAGGAGGTGAGAATGCGTCCATCAAAGGCGTAATATTTTTTGGTTGTAACGCAAACCATGAATGGGTTTGCCTATCTGAGTCATCAGCATGCCTCTGTCAGTTCGCACAATCCCGGACTATCTAGTATTCCAAGGCTTTGTTCCGAAGTAGCTGAGTTATTCCTCTACCGTGACAGTGAACAACAAGAGGACGCTCCGACAAACTACCAACTCTCCGTGGAAAAGGATGAAGTAACGGAAGCCATTGTGCAAACGAGTCGACTTACTGGCAGTAGGATACCCAAGCTGTGGTAAAAAATAAAGCGTGGAAACCAAAACCAAATCGCTTCAGCTTTATAATTGTGTCATCAGTTGGCCTTGAAAACGGCTTCAACAGTCTAAACTCGGCTCTTTGTGCTCCAAACTGACATTTGCTTTTAGCCGGTACGGTGGTGTGGTTTACTGATGAACTCAAAGTCATTCTCAGTAGCGACATGTGAACCAATGCGTAACGGAACAAGTGCCTCCACCCAAGTAGTCCGATCTGTCTACCGACAAGTACTCTAACGACTTCTTCCGTAATCTGACAGCATGGCTGCGCACGGTAATCACAAGCTACGCCATACTTTGTATTAAGATCGGTCATTGCAACCATATTTACTTGCCTTTTTCGAGATCTCACTGAAACAGAGTTTTGTAACACCGTGAAGATGTCATGTTCCCCAAATGCAATTCGTAACTCAGTAAAACCGCCTGGAAACTCGATCGCAATTTTACAATTGGTTGGCTCGGATGCCGCACATTGTCAGTGTTGTTTACCTGGATTATCCGGTGAAACGCGTACCAGTGAGGCGAACAGCGAGCAAGCATGTGTCTGGGTGAAAAGCCGTTGTCCTTACGGGCCTTCTGTCAACACACCGCTACTCAGCCATACTCAAAATGGGTGAACAGAACAACTGAAAGATTCGAGTTGTTGCTGTTGTCGGGGGGTGGGGTATTATGTAGGGATCTTTTCCAGATAAGCCCCGCCACTAATGCAAAAAACGGATGTGTGAAAAGTTAAGTCCCGCCCCACATTTTGCCAGCCTTAATCTAATGTACGCACACTACCTTGACCCAATTTTGATGTAAACAATTCCTTATCCGCATCTAGGTACATTTTGTGCAAAAATTTTCTCCGCTAGGACGTAAAACCTTATATGGACTTTCTGAAGCTTTCAACTCTCGTTCATGACAAGAAGACGGTAATGCGTTTTTTGCAAAGCCACGGAGTGATCCGTCAGCAACGTTTACACAACAATCGCCACCAAATGACACTTTCAACTGTTTCTAACAAGTGTAGGTGTAATGCCCTACAGTGTCGGCAAGAAATTGGTCTTCGAAAGGGAACTTGGCCGGAGTGGTCTAGGATGAGGTTTAGGACAGTAATTCCATGCATTTATTACTGGTAAAAAATTTGGCGAAAATCAAATTCTGCTCAGAGGAATTGTCTGTTAGCCACACGACCGCTGTTAACTGGAAGAACTTTCTTCGCGAAGTTTGCGCCTGGCGGCTCTTGCAGACTCCAACAGTTATCGAGCGACCCTTTCATGCAAATTATTAATGACATGTCCCACTTTCATCCTCTTGAACAAAAACTAAGAGTACAAATTTCATCTAGTCCCTTTTCTAGTCTTTTTTTGGGTGGCGGTAGTTAATTTATTGGCGGGGCTTATCTGGAAAAGATCTTTGTGTAGGTCAGCTTCGATGCTCATTGTCTTAGAACTGGATAACACTCGAATGAGATCCAGAACATTGGAGATCAATCAACACGTTCAGTAAGTTAATCTGTTGGCCCTAGTACGTTCCTTCTGTTTCAGCCGACCCGAAATTAGTCGAGATGACTTCGCTAATGTTGAGAACCGACAACCATGATTACTATGGAACGTAAATCGACTCCAGTTCGTTTAAATTTTAGAAGCCTCATTTGTTTCGTGGTGAAGCGTCAGGTTGAAGTAGGAACTGAGTTTTGTGGAAATTTGGAGACTGTACCTCCTTGATGGGCCAAACAACGAAACCGGTGGTGGGGTGTAAAGGGTTTTCATCGACCTTATGACTAGTCTCCCATGAAGGACGGAAGGACGGAAGGACGGCAGCCAGTCAGCAAGTACTCAATCTGGGCATTGTACTCGTGACATACGACACAAGTTTACAATCCTTCTCACTCGTTTGCACAGACCCTAAAAAAGTTTCTTCGTTGACATTCCATATGATGTCATATTCTACGCTTGCCCGTCCTACTATTCCAAAGTAACATGTGGTAACCTGAGGTCCATACTACTCATCACATTCAATGTGTGCTTTGTAGTCATTGGAGTAAAGCCTTTTTCCATTTCCGGTTCTACTAACGTTTGTGTATTGATGTGAGCACCAATAAGAGAGAGATTTGTCTGCTAAGTCCCACGCTATTTGATGCCCACCTACGAAGATTTCATCACAGCATATCACGAAAACTTTCTCCAGTTTGCAGACAGAACATCCAATAACTTCTCGAAAAAGTTATTTGCAAATTGGCGCAAGTACAAAGTTGTATCGTGCAGTCGAGCAGGAGTCTTGCTTGGCTTTTTAGCAGTTTTGGAGAGACGTCGGCATTTGTGGTAACCGTTTAGTACACAGTCTGCTGTCGGTTTTTTATCCAAGCAGTGGCACCGACTGTTTAAATTTCAGCGGCTCGAACTACCCCTTCTCTCGGTATAGCTTACACCTCTCAGGTGCAAAGACAGCGTTGAGTTAGCACAGAGGGAAACAGTTTATCAAATGCTAATTATCAGAGTAACTGGAAGCATTCAATTGGGGCGAAATGGTTCAGTGGTTAGAGCGCGAATTCACCGACCGGATGGCCCGTGGTTCGAACCCTCTCGACTTCCTCTGTGTGGGCTTGAGTAACCTGGCACTATCCCAGTCCTCGTGCTGCGCATCGGAAGGGTGGTATACCTGAACGAAGCATTCATTTCTGACTACACTAAGATCCCAGTATTCAGTGATCACTGCCCTAGACTGTGTCATTGATTTGATATGTATCGGGATTATGAAAAGCTTGCAGCCATTCTACCTACTAATTAGTATTCAGTAGATGTGTCATTCTATCCGTGGAGCCATTCTGTGATAAAAAGCCAAGAAGCACCGTACAGCTGTTTCATTCTTGTTCGAAATCAGCAGTGGTGCATGCGCGAAAATGCCGGCCAACCATCTGGCTACGCACGGTGAGCCAATAGTGTGATTAGCCTTCACTCAGACAGGACATAGCGCCACTGTTCCTTGAATAGTGGAAACGACATCACGTGGTCACGTATTGATTGGCTTCTAGAGTGACAACTTTTCAGAGGGAAGCTTCACACATCCAGTGAAATTATCCATCCTCTGACTTGCTTATTGATTATTTGAAGTCATTAGACTACGTACGAAGTTCGATGCGCGTGGTAAATCGAAAAAAACAGTTGAATTCGTGTGCACGCTGCGCACAGGTGAAGTCTGAGACTTTGGTTCTAGGGTCAAGAGTTTAAATTCCAATAATAGCTTGTCGAATACTGCAAGTCCGGTTCAGGGTTAAAAGCATGGCGAGTCGTATTCCCAGATCGACTACTTCTTTGTGGCTATCATTTCTAAAGCTTATGGCATGGCAATACTCGAGTCGTTCCTCAGAACAATGGAAAGTTGAAATACTCACTAGCGATCAGGTTCCTTATCACTTTGAACTCCTATGCTAAACCAAGCAAAGACCGTTTGAGTAACTGTTCCGCTGTCTGCAACGGTGTGATCTTTTCGGTTATAGGTTGGACCCTATCAGTTGGGACTGAATATCGGGACTCGGTCACTTAAAAAAGCTCTCAAGCAATGTCAGTCTGTTGAAAAAAATCGTCCAGCTATAACCCCTCTCCGGTTCCTAGCTGCCATGCTACCTGAAGGAAGCACGAGGGCTGGGATACTGCCAGGTTGCCAAAACCTAGACAAGAGAAGTTAAGAAGCAGAGGTCGGGTTCGAACTACGGACCTTCCGGTCAGTAAATTCGCGCTCCTACCACTTGAACAATCTTGAAACAGCTGGTGCCAAAGTCATCACAATTAGGCGGGTGATTTTGACGGGACATCGGATGTTGACCGGAGTCAAAATGACCCTCGCCAGCTTAGAATGAAGACGGATTTATTTCCCAAACCCAGACCTGTTAACCAAGCACTACAGACCGTGGGAGAAGCTGGGTCATCACTCCTGTAAACTACCGTGCTCGGTTGTAAGTAGTAAGGTCATATTGTACGTGGAGATTGCTTTGTAAAGTATAACGAGGTGTTATGAGAGTCTAGAAAATTTTCACCAACTAACACGCATCATGGACTTGATGACTGAAATAGATAAATAAATAAATAAATAAATAAATAAATAAATAAATAAATAAATAAATAAATAAATAAATAAATAAATAAATAAATAAATAAATAAATAAATAAATAAATAAATAAATAAATAAATAAATAAAACCTTTTTTAGACGTAATCCCCTACTCATAAGGTTAGTGGAAACATTGACAACTTTACTACTATTGTATTAAGTCCACATAATATTTTGCGACATCTCGAATATCGTATCAAATGAAAATTGAGGGGGCTAGGTGCAGCACATTCACTTGAAGAAAGACATCGTAAATGATTCCAGGTGAGTCTTCACTGAAAACCTAATTGATGTGCAGAGGAAGAGATAGGTAGAATGGTTTTTTATGTGAAAACTGTACCGATCAATGTTCCGGCAAGTCACAGACACCATGTGTTCAAATTCAGCTGTACGGCTTAATAACCATGAGGTGGACCTGATATTGACCTTCAGTATTTTCGTGACTATGAGACGTTCCACAGTAAGTCGTAATTTTCCTCAATTCCAGGAGTTATCGGAGTTCTATTTCTGACCAGCATCGTCTGTCTTGTGGTACACGTCATACCTCCCACTTGGTGAAACCGAGCATTCCTCAGTCTCGAAGCTAATTAATCATTGTGGAACGTTATTACTGGCTGTTCACCAATTGACAGGCTGATGACCAAACATGCGGTCTCGTACCAAAAGTTCCTTGTTACTGTCAAGTCTGTTTTGACCTGAGTCGTATCGACCCACATGTACCTACAATTTCAGATATCTGTAAACTGGGAGCGAAAAAGCCGTTTTACACTGCCCAATATATCGAAAACAAGCGAAAGTGAGAAAAACAGCCCACTAGACGCGTGAAGCTTCCCTCGGAGAAGTCATCACTCTAGAAGTCAGTCAATACGTGGCCACGTGATGTCGTTTCCGTT